TCAACCCCCCCCCCCCCCCCCCCCCTCCCATCTCCGGCGTGCAAAACGCCTACCACGTACATGTACTATCCGACGTCATCAGTGATTCGACCAAAGGGGGAGGCTTTAGTCCCAGAAGAACGTCAGTGCTATTCTACAGCGAAACGGCGATGCGATAAAGCATGCGGATATGTATGCATGTATCATATGGCAACACCTGAATGGGAAACAAAGACTACCGCCAACAACAAGAACATCAAGAATTAACATATAAACAACCAACGGACGGAAAGGGGTGACGGAGGGAGGAGCCGAAGCAAAAATACACTAGTCGATAACCAAGTAGGCTGCTTAGGACCAGGTCATGGGTTCGAGTACCGGCAGAGTGAGTTCTCACTAAATAAATCCTGGTCTAGGATGAAAGCGACGCGCTGCAAAGCTCGTTTTTTAGTAAACCATAATCGACTTCGTAGGTCGCGAGGGAAGGGATTGCTGTACCCTTCTCGCGATAAAAATATCTCAGGCAGGAACCGCAGGAGGGGGTCCAGCCCCCCCCTCCTATGTGACCCCGGTTGGGTCGTCTAGCTAGTAGAAGTGGAGTATAGGGGCCAGAGGGGCAGACGACAAAGTCCAATGATGGGAGAAGAAAAAAAAAAACAGTTAAGATATTGTATGGGACGGACAGGGTTGTCAGCACAATGGAAGCGACTACGAGCATCTCCCTCGAGCGATACAGAGAAGAAGTAATGCTGTCCAAAGAGAGCGTGTTAGTGTACACTGCCGCCCTCAGCGGTCTGTGGTGTTGAGACTGGGTGCTGTGTTATCCCAGGAACAGCAGATGAGAAAGGACCATGTATATGTTACATAAATCACGCAAGCCCCGGCAAGCTGGTCACCAACACGCAAGCCTCTCAGGCAGGTGCCGGGGGCACACCGCCGTGTGCTCACACTGAGGCCCCGCACTTGGACCTCAACCGCATACATATCCATCACACCCATAGTTCCCATACGCGTATCCCCCACAGAGGATGCACAGATCGGACTCATATCCGAGTACCACAAACAGCCCCCCTACTTGATACGATGTACAGTATTGCAACCCTTAACGCGAAATAAGCCAAAACAGAAAAACACCTCTCGAGAAAACTTGTTCAACAAAACTGGCTACGCATGCTACACAAAGCGTTTCCATCAGTTTATTCACGAATCCAACGCGTTCGTACCACCCCTGGTACCGCCCCCCGTCTCCTCGCGCCACACGAAGATGTTTTACCGGGGTCGAAGGGGTGCGTCGGGGCTCCACTCCATGTTCCATCCACCCCCTCATCCCCGCTCCCATCACCGCCGCTTTCCTCGCTGCTGCTGCTGCTGCTGCTCACGTCCCCCTCAGTCTTCCCGGGGTCGAAAGGGTGCGTCGGGGCTCCACTCCAGATGTCATCCAACCCCTCGTCCCCTCTCCCATCGCCGCCGCTGTCCTCGCTGCTGCAGCTGCTGCTACTGCTGCTGCTGCTGCTGCTGCTGCTGTTGCTCACGTCCACCCCTGCACAATGGCTATCGAGCTCCTCCAGCACTGGCAACGCCGTCGTTGTCGCACCGACCGCTTCCTCCAACTCTTCGTCACATACCTCCGTCACCGGTGCCGCCGCCGCCGCCCCTGCGGCCGTCTGGACACCCGACGCCAACGCGGCGACCGGGGACGCCGCTGCTGCTGTCGCCGCTGCCGTTGCCCCCGTCACCGATATCGACACCGCCGCCGCTACGGCCGTCTGGACACCCAACGCCAACGCGGCGACCGGGGACGCCGCAGCTGCTGCTGCCGCTGCCGTTCCCCCCGTCACCGACGCCGCCGCCATCGCCGCTGCATCCGTCTGAGTACCCGGCGCCAACGCGGCGACCAGGGACAACGCTGCTGCTGCTGCCGCTTCCGACGAATGCTTGGGTTGTTGTGATTCCGCGGACGGCGAAACTACAACAACGTGATACAATCCAAGCATGTGTTCCTCCGCTACACGTCTACTGCTGTATCCGCCCTCCATGAGATCCAGCTCATCGCGTTGCCGCACTACTGCAGATACTACACGTGATGTTGCGGGCCGCTGGGGAGAGCGAGTGGTAGAGTGTGTGTTTACGGTGTGAGAAGCGACGTTGGCGGGGGCTTTTACCGGCAAATACACCGCAGACGAACCGGCAGCAGCCCCCCCCCCCTTCTCACCAACGAACACCCCACCACTCACCTGTCCACCTGCACCCCCGGTGAGGCCGTCTGCTAGCTGTTGTTGCCGCGGCTGCTGCTGAGAGTCACCGCCGTGCACCACGCCTGGCTGCTTCTGCTGCTGCTGCTGCCAACACACAGACCCGTCGCCAAACTCGCCGTTCCTCCGCTGCTGCTGAAACGGTCCAGGTCGGTTGTACTTCCAGTAGATCATTTCGTGGTTTGGTGCCAGGCATTTGATGCTGATGTGTCCAGAACGCCCGCACCGATGGCACTGAGGAGGCCCGTGAAATCTCCTCGGCTCACAGCAGACATAAATCCCACCAGCCGCATCGGCATTCCTCCAATCGCGAGTGCAACCCATACCTTGTTGCTGCTGCGGCGTCCCCGGTCGCCGCGTTGGCGTTGGGTGTCCAGACGGCCGTAGTGGCGGCGGCGTCGATCGATATCGGTGACGGGGGCAACGGCAGCGGCGACAGCAGCAGCAGCGTCCCCGGTCGCCGCGTTGGCGTCGGGTGACCAGACGGCCGCAGGGGCGGCGGCGGCGGCACCGGTGACGGAGGTATGTGACGAAGAGTTGGAGAAAGCGGTTGGTGCGACAACGACGCTGTTGCCAGTGCTGGAGGAGCTCGATAGCCAATGTGCAGGGGTGGACGTGAGCAACAGCAGCAAGGTATGGGTTGCATTCGCGATTGGAGGAATGCCGATGCGGCTGGTGGGTTTTATGTCGGCAGTGAGCCGAGGAGATTTCACTGCGGCGTCCCCGGTCGCCGCGTTGGCGTTGGGTGTCCAGACGGCCGTAGTGGCGGCGGCGTCGATCGATATCGGTGACGGGGGCAACGGCAGCGGCGACAGCAGCAGCGGCGTCCCCGGTCGCCGCGTTGGCGTCGGGTGTCCAGACGGCCGCAGGGGCGGCGGCGGCGGCACCGGTGACGGAGGTATGTGACGAAGAGTTGGAG